ACCATCAACCTTTTGGTTAGCAGCTAAATGCCTTAACCACTGCACCACCAGATCTCCTGTAGGGCTTGAGGGGAGAGGGAAATACAATTCAAAAAAGAGTTCAGGGGAAAATAGGGCTTGTATGTCCACAGTTTACCAAAGAGCCAAGATTTGGGGTTTTAGATACCTTGGACATGTCTTCTTGCCCTTCCTCATTATAAGTTATTATTAATCTGAATATTTTTTCTAATATTGAAGCTGTGTATTCTTTTGAGGAAGGGGTGGTGTAAGAAGAATTCAGTCACATTTCAAAATCTTAATTATATCCTTTCAAGCTAAATAGAGAATGCTTTTTAAATTACCATAGTTTTATAAAATGAGTTAAAATACTTTTGTAAAAGGAGGTTTCTTAGTGTTGCCATTTTATACTGGGTTTTATAAGTAAATATCTGCATTCCCACTTCTCATGTGTTGATTTCACTATACTTTGAATAAACCACAGGAGAATTTCAAGCCAGTCAACTTTTGGTCTTCAACTTTATCATTTTGTATCAAAGGAACATTTGTTTTTCAGACATTTGGTTTCTCATAGAGAGAAATGGTTTCTCCTTAAACTATAACATATACACATTGTAAAAGTTATATTTTTCCCAAATTGATTCAGGATTATAGTTCTAGCATAGTTCATGCTACTGTGCTGATCACACTAGTATAAGGCACCTGTTTAACTGGAACTTAAACATTGGGAGAGGGGGCGGGGAGAAAGAGCTTAAATATGAAACATACCACATTCATGCAGGTGGATATAAATTATCTTACTACTCATCTCTATTTAGAATAGAAAAACAATAAATTCTAGAATTAGACCAGTCGCTGTTGTTATGTGCTATCGAGTCGACCCCAACTCATAGCGACCCCTCCTTGGGTTTCCAAAGCAGTATCACTACGGATGTATATTGCCCAACCTTCCTTCTGAGGAGTGGCTGGTGGATTTGCACTGCCAGCACTGAATGTTTTAACTCTTGAAATTTTCTGGAGAGTTTAAGAAATAAAGCCGAAAAATACCAATTGTTTTAAGTTTACTTTTTTTTTGTATTTTAATTGTTTTCTATTTTGTTCAGGAAAACTCTTTTTAAAATACTATCATTATCACTGGGATAGAGCTAGCTGAAAGGAGATCCTGTTAACCTTTAAGTCAGTTCACAGCCATCCTGTCAATTCTGACTCACAGTGTCCCCCATTGGGTTTCCAAGGCTGTAAATCTTTACTGAAGTAGACTGCCTCATCTTTCTTCCCAGGAACATGGGTTTGAACCACTGACCTTTTGGGTAGCAGCCAAAAATCTCAACCACTACACCACTACACCACCAGAGTTCCTTATTCAGAATACCTTAAAGTGGGAGCTCTGGTGGCATAGTGACTAAGGCATTTGACTGCTAACCAGACTAGACTCTTGTCAGAAGGAAGACTGGGCAATCTACTTTCATAGACACCATCTCTGCCTCAGAAACACCAGGGGTCGCTATGAGTCAGAATCGACTTCATAACAGTGAGTTTGTTTTTGTTTTTAACTTTAAGTAGATGGAAGGATATAGGAGAATTTAAGAATGTATTGATTGAAAACAATTCTATATGCCTAAGGCATTTGACTGCTAACCAGAAGGCTGGTGGTTCAAACCCACCAGCCACTCCTTGGAAGGAAGTTTGGGCAATCTACTTCCGTAGTGATACCACCTCGGAAACCCAAGGAGGGGTCACTATGAGTTGGATCCGACACAACGGCAGTGAGTTTGGTTTTTTGAGGAGTAAGATAATTTCTTACCAAAGGAATTCAGCTAGATTATTAATTGATCATTTTATTTTCTGCCCTGCATCAGAGGCAGTGCTCTGTGTAGAGCCCAGAGCCACAGTTGAGGCTGGGGGTTTGGAGGTGTTGTTCACCTGGGGGATTACAAGTAGTGCAACATGTTGGAGAAGTCCTGGGAGGCATCTCAGTAACATCCTTACAATCTTTTCCAAAGGAGTACAGGCTCACGAAAACTTTAAGGTCAGAAAATTCTGTTGTTAGGGGCCATCGAGTCATTTCTGACTCATAGTGACCCTATGCACAGCAGAACGAAACACTGCCCAGTCCTGTGCCAGCCTCACAATCTCGATTGCGACGCATAGTGACCCCCTCCTTGGGTTTCTGAGGCAGTATCTCTACAGAAGTAGATTGCTCAGTCTTCCTTCCAAGGAGTGGCTGATGGGTTTGAACCACTAGCCTTTTGGTTAGCAGTCAGATGCCTAAGGTACTTCGTGACCAGAGGCACCCTGGAAATAAGGCCTGAGATCTGCTTCAGAAAGGTCACAGCCTTGAAAGCCCTGTGGAGTATAGTTCTAGTCTGCATGGCTGGGGTCACTGTGGGTCAGAATTGAGTGGATGGCAATTAACAACAATAACAACAATGCTGCATTAAAGTTTATAATGTTTACGGTTCTTTTTGTCTAGTTTTGTATGTTTGGCATGATCTTATAAATGAGTCCATACACGAGCTTTATTTATTTTTTCCCTTCTAGGTTCATCAGGAACATGAGAAAGCCAACACAATGGTAGCTTTAATGAAGGTTTATCAAGAGGAAGATGAAGCATACCAGGAATTAGTTACTATGGCAACCATGTTCTACCAGTATTTACTGCAGCCATTTAGGGATATGCGAGAAGTTGCAACTTCATGTAAGCTTGACATTTTGGTATGTTTTCTTTATATTTTTATTTTACTGGATACACTGTTTTTCATATATTATTTCTTTAGTCACATTTAAGATTCAGTCTTGTGTTTGCATTTACCATTACATTTAGATTTCTGTAGAAATTTATATTTAAAAATTGATAAAAATGAAGAGATTTACATTGGTCATCTTCTTAATACCGTAAGATTTCTGCAGATATTAAAAAGTTGGAATTCTTCCTCTGCTGATGGATGACTTGTGTTTGATGTGATGTTATATTTTAAAAAACAAAACCAAACTCACTGCCATCGAGTCGGATCTGACTCATAGCGACCCTCCTTGGGTTTCCGAGGCGGTGTCACTACAGAAGTAGATCATCCAATCTTCCTTCTGAGGAATGGTTGGTGGGTTTGAATCGCCAGCCTTCTTGTTAGCAGTCAAGTGCCTTAGGCACTATGCCACTAGAGCTCCTGGTGCTTATTTACTGCTGCTTATTTTCTGCCTCTAAGGACACATGCATGTTTTATAGGAACAGGATAGAAATTTAAATAGCATAGCCTTAGATTGTAATTCCGTACTTTAAACTTTAATACAACCCTATGACACTAATTAGAATAGGCATTATTATCACAGTGCTTCAAATGAATCCAAAGCCCTTATAGGATTTATAGGGTGTTTGGTTTTTGTTTTGAGCTAGAATCAAAAGATGTCAGAGATCATAAAAAAGATCAGGCCTACTGGTTGGATGGAAACTGGTGGAACTCCTGAGACTATGGCCCTTAGTCACCTTTCAAACCTGGAACTGAAGTCACTCCTGTGGCTCAATATCCAGTCAAACAATAGACAGATCTACAAAGTGAACACCACCGGGACGGTATGTACTCCTTAGAACAATCAACCATTCGAGATCAAAAGGGCAGCATTTGTCCAAGGACAAAGTTCAGAAGGCAGGAAGGATTAGGAGAGAAGACAGAATGGAAATAAACAGAGGGAAGATGTAGGAGTGATGCTACATTGAGGGGATTGCGGTCATGAAATGTATAAATTGTTGAATGGAAAATTGATTTGTTCTGTAAACTTTCATCCAAATCACAATAAAAAGTTTTTTTAAAAAAACAAAACAATGGGAGATCTCTTGATTTCTACCCTGTGAATTGGATCATCCTTTTATACATATACTCAATGACTCCTGCTAAGTTATGTGCTTGTTGTTGTTGTTGTTATTTGCCATCGAGTCGGCCCCGACTCATAGCGACCCCTCCTTGGGTTTCCGAGGCAGTAACACTACAGAAGTAGGAATGCCCAACCTTCCTTCCGAGGAGTGGCTGGTGGGTTTGAACCGCCAGCCTTCTGGTTAGCAGTCAAGTGCCTTAGGCACTATGCTACCAGAGCTCCTAAGTTATGTGCTATAGAAATAGTATCACAGTAAGATGGAACTCGTGCTACTCCAACCTGTGGATAAAGTTGTTCTGTTCATTGTTTTGAAAGTCCATTATTTGGATAGTTTACTTCCTGCATCTTTTTCTTTTTTATTTAAGCTTTATTGAGATACGATTCACATACTATAAATTTACATTTAATGTGTACAATTCAGTGTTTTGTAGCATATTTGGAGATGTGTAATCACCACTACTATCTAATTCCAGACCATATTTATCACCCAAAAAGAAATCCCGTACCCATTAGCAGTTACTCCCCATTTCCTCCCAAACTGCCTAGCCCCTAGGCAATCACCAGTCTTTCTGTCTCTAGGGGTTTGCCTATTCTGGACATTTCATATTAATGGAAGTATATAGTAAGTGGACTTTGATGACAGGCTGCTTTTACTTAGCATAACGTTGTCCAGGGTTCATTGATGTTGTAACATCTATCAGAACTTCCATTTCTTTTTATTATGGAATAATATTATTATATGAATGGATTAAGGAGCTCTGGTGGCACAGTGCTTACCAGACTGCTAACCAGAAGACTGGCGGTTCAAACCCACCAGCCACTCCTAGAAAGGAAGATGGGACAATCTATTTCCATAAAGATTTACTGCCTCGGAAACCCAGTGGAGATCACTATGAGTTGGAATTGACTTGATGGCAGTGGGTTGGGTTTGGTTTTATGAATAGATTACATTTTCTTCCTTTATTTATTAGCTGATGGAAAATTTGGGTTGTTTCTACTACTTGCTATTATAAATAGTGCTGCTATGAACATTCATGTACAAGTTTTGGTATGGACATATATTTTCATTTTCTTGGGTTTCCACTTAGGAGTGGGATTACTGAGTCATATGGTAATTCTATGCTTAACCTTTTTAGGAACTGTCAGATGGTTTTCCAAAGTGCCTGTACCATTTTACATTCTTAATAGCAATGCATGAGAGTTGCAATTTGTCCACATCCTTGCCAACACTTGTTATTGTCTGTTTTTTTCCATTATAGCCATCCTAGTGGGAGCTCTGGTGGCATAGTGCCTAAGGCATTTGACTGCTAACCAGAAGGCTGGTGGTTCAAACCCACCAGCCACTCCTTGGAAGGAAGGCTGGGCAATCTACTTTCGTAGTGATACTGCCTCAGAAACCCCAGGAGCGGTCGCTGAGTTGGATCCGACTTGAGGGCAGTACGTTTGGGTTTTTTTTTTTTTTTTTTGGGTTTAGTGGGTATGAAGTAGTATCTCATTGGGATTTAATTTATATTTCCCTAATAAAAAAGGAAGGTGGGGCAATCTACTTCCGTAGTGATACTGCCTCGGAAACCCAAGGAGGGGTTGCTATGAGTGGGGTCTGACTCGATGGCACCTCGATGGCACATAACAACAATGGCTAACTTGCATATATTGCTGATGCCAGTCAATCATGCTTTGTAGATCATGTCATAATCATGAACATATAGATTATACTATCTTTTAGGTTATTTTATTACTTTTGCCCTTCAGGAAAGAACATGGTATTGAAAAGCTTACTGCCATGTTCTTAAAAGAAATCATAGCGACAGTTAATACCTGAGTGCTGTGTACTTGGGCTTCTATAGATCTCATTGAAACAGCTGTGTATTACTATGAGTTGTTGTTGTTATGTGCTGTCGAGTTGGACCTGACTCATAGTGACCCCTCCTTGGGTTTCCGAGGCTGTATTGCTACAGAAGTAGATTGCCCAACCTTCCTTCCGAGGAGTGGCCAGTGGGTTTAAACCGCCAGCCTTCTGGTTAGCAGTCAAGTGCCTTAGGCACTATGCCACCAGAACTCCTATTATTATGAGTAGAGAAACATAATTTGACAGCCTTCCTCTATAGAAAAGGTTGCTCTAGTAATGTAAAGTGAAAGTAGGTTTTTGTTTTTTTTTCCTCTTCTCTTTATGCCCCAGGGTATCCCTTTGTCTTCCAAGTGGTACCTAGCTTAGAACCTTATGCATACTGGATAAATGAAAATTTAATTGACTAAGTAATGGTAATTAAAGTAGTTAAAATAGTCCATATCACCACTTTCTTTTCAATTTCCTAATGGCTGCACATGACTATTCTCATACTAATACAATTTTCCCTTCTTTCTGTAGAAGTCCTTGGATGAAGATGATCTGGGTCCTAAAAGGGTAGCTTCCCTACAGAAGGAAGCCAAAGAATGGACTAGACGGGCTGAAGGAGCTGTAGTCTCTATCCAGGATATCACAGTGAATTATTTTAAAGAAACAGTAAAAGCATTGGCAGGTAATAATACAAAACATTACACTAAGTGATACGTCATTTTCATTTTATTCAGGAAAATTTGAGTATCTCTTAAGCCTCAGGAGCTATGTTTCCTAGGTGCTAGGGATTCACTGTAAGGATAAGCACAAACAGACACTGTACAATCTGTTGAAAGGAGAGGAATCTTAATTATGTATTAATTCAAACAAATGGAAAATGGAGATGGCAGTAAGTGATGTAAAGAAGAGAAATGGGGGCTCAGAGAGCCTGTGAGAGAGATTAGGTGGTCAGCGAAAGCCTCTGAGAAGTGGTACTTGCCCTAGTATCTGAAGGATAATTGTAAGTTGTTGTTACTAGGTGCCATCAAGTCAGCTCCAACTCATAGCGACCCTGTGTACAACAGAAGAAAACACTGCTCAGTCCGACGCCAGCCTCACAGTCCTTGCTATATCTGAGCCCATTGTTGTAGCCACTGTGTCATTCCACCTCGTTGAGGTCCTTCCCTTTTTTTGCTAACCCTCCACTTTACCAAGCATGATGTCCTTCTCCAGGGAGTGGTCCCTTCTGACAACATGACCAAAGTAGATAAGACAAAGTCTGGCCATTCTTGCTTCCAAGGAGCATTCCAACTGCACTTCTTCCAGGACAGATTTATTAGTTCTTCTGGCAGCTCATGGTACTTTGAGTATTCTTCATCGGTACCACAATTTAAAATAATCAATTCTTCTTTGGTCTTCCTTATTCATTTTCCAGCTTTCACACATGTATGAGCTGATTGAAAATACCATGACTTGGGTGAGGCTTATTCTTCAAAGACACATCTTTTCTCTTCAGCACTTTAAAGAAGTCTTTTGTAGCAGATTTGCCCAATACAATATTTCGTCTGATATCTTGACTGCTGCCTTCATCGGTGTTGACTGTGGAACCAAGCAATATGAAATCTTTTCTCCATTTATCATATTGCTGCTTATTGGTCCAGTTGTGAGGATTTTTGATTTCTTTATTTGAGGTGTAATCCATATTGCACACTGTAGCCTTTAATCTTCATCAGTAAGTGCTTCAAGTCATCCTCATTTTCAGCAAGCAAGGTTGTGTCATCTGCATATTACAGGTTGTTAATGAGTCTTCCTCCAATCCTGATTCTGTGTTCTTCATATAGTCAAGCTTCTTGGATAATTTGCTCAGCATACAGATTGAATAAGTGTGATGAAAGAATACACCCTGATGCACATTCCCTTCCTGATTTTAAACCATGCAGTAACTTCTTACTGGAAGTTCAGAGGGCAAAAAAGTGAGGGATGAATATTCCTGGCAGAAGGGATAGCATTTGTAAAGGCCTTCTGGCATAATAAGGGAGCTTGGCAAGTATGGAGAATTTAAAGTCAGCCCGTGGGACTGAAGCACAGAGGATGTGGTGAGGGAGAATGTTGGCAAGACAGGTGGGGACCAGGCCATGTGGGGTCTTGTGGGCTGGGTGAAGGACTTTGTTTGATCTTAATCATTGTTGGAAATAGTTAGCATCAATCAATCAGTTTGTTGAATTTTGGTACATCAATAAAATCGGACACTAAGTAGCTATTAAGTATGACTTTCTAAGTACACTTTTTGAATGACAAGAGTTCCTTGGTATGTTAAGTGCAGTAGACAAGCTATAAAGCAGAATGATATTCCTGTTTTTGGTCAAACTATATAAGCCTGCCTGCCTAAATACACACAGAAAGTTTGGAAGCATATGTTCCAAAATGTAAGAAGCATTTGTCTCAAGAAGGTAAGATCATGTTTTATTTTCTTTTTAAAATAGATTATCTAAAATTTTCTGTCAGTTGACATATTATTTTTGTGATAATAAATAAATTATTAAAACAATTTTTTCTTTTTAAACAGGATATTTTTAGGTATTATGGGAAGTAGTAAACAAAGGATTCACTCAGAGTAAATTTTCCTTTTTTAGTGAGTTGTGATTTTCTCTTAATTACCTGATAGGAATGCAGAAACAAATGGAGCAGGATGGAAGGAGATTTGGCCAGGCTGCCTGGGCTGCAGTAACTCCCAGGTTAGAAAAACTCAAGCTAATGTTAGCTCGAGAGACTCTACAACTCATGAGAGCTAAAGAATTGTGTTTAAATCATAAAAGGGCTGAAATTTGGAGAAAGGTAAGACAAAGATAAATGTAACTTTGTTTAAAAAATGCATTTTTATTTTATAGAGCACCTTTAAAGAGCTCTGGTGGTGCAGTGGTTTAAGCATATGGCTGCTAACCAAAAGTCTGGTGGTTTGAACCCACCAACTGCTTCGTAGAAGAAAGACTAGGCAATCTGCTTCCATAAAGATTTACAGCCTGGAAACCCTGTGGGGTAGTTCTACTCTGTCCTATAGAGTCACTAGAGTTGGAATAGACTCAATGCCAATGAGTGGGTGGGTGGAGAGCACCTTTATTGCTAGTTATTGTTCAAAAATTTCCTTTCTTCATTTACTCTCACACCATCTTCTAGTAGGTAAGTAAACCCAAAACCCATTGCTATTGATACCAATTCATAGTGACTGTCTAGGACAGTTTCCAAGGCTCTGATCTTTTAGGAGGCTGACTGCCACATGTTTCTCCTTCAGAATGGCTACTGGGTTTGAACTGCTCACCTTTTACTTAGTAGCTGAGCTTAGGAGACTATTAAAGGCAGGCCATAAAGTTTCCCTTTGATCAAGGTTTTATGTTTTAGAGTATTATATTGTAGGATTCACTTATAATAAGCTCAGTATTATGGATAATAAACATTAAGCAATGTTTTTTAGCACAACTCTAGAATAGTCAGAGGTAGTCTGTTCTCTAGGATATACTAGGATTATAGTCACTTAGATATTTTCCTGTTACCTGTGACTTTAAAGCAGAAAACACTGTAAATATGTCATTGTAACTTATTTTTCTCAAAACCTAAATGTTTTCCTCTCAAGGATGAGATAAAGTATTTGTAAAGAACACTGAAGAAGGCATTTTTGTCTTGGTAGAGGAAATGGAAAAGTGTGTTTTTTTTAATATTTAGTACTGAGCAAGGAATAGAAACTAGAATGCGTCTAAAGTTTGCTTTTAATATACTAATTCTTTTAACTTTTATTTTTTACAAGATGGAAGATCTTCCAGAACAAGAAAAAAATATAGATGTTGTAGATGAATTAGAAATACAATATTATGAAGTTCAGTTAGAACTATATGAGGTAAAATTTGAGATATTAAAATATGAAGAAATACTGCTTATTACACAGTTGGACTCTATTAAAAGACTTATAAAAGGTAAAATTTATTTCTTTGTGTATATATTAAAATATTTCAATTTGCATTTCAGAAAATACCTACAGGTTTCCCCTGTTATCCAAAAGTAGAGCATTCCTATGAAACCCTTTATAAGCCAAAATAGTGTTCAAGGAAGAGGCAATTGCCATTAATTTATATGGGCAAATTTTTTTAGTGTTCTCAGACCCAAAAAATAACCTACCAAATGATATTAAATAACACATAAAACCTAAAATAACACTAACAGACAGTGGTCACAGACACACTTCAGAGTTGTGGTGGCTTGATACTGAGAGCTGAGTGTAGTTCCTGAGGAAGGAGCTTAGTGACACCATTCTCACTACTGCTTGGAGTATGCACTGCTTCTAATGGCTTGCTGCAAAACAAATGTTGAATCCCAATTTTGCTCCCTCCCCCCCGTAACAGTGGAAATCTTCTCAAATTTCTTTTGGTTAGTGAAAACAGCTACTAAAGTAGGTTTTTCATAAAAGCTAAGTGGCGTAAAGCAAACTTTCAAAAAGTTGGGAATACCTGTACAATTTTGTTAATTCCTTCTTAGAAATTGTCTGTGACAGCTACGATCTTTCCTAAATAAAATTCCCTTCAGTGTTTTTCTTTTTCAAATAATGTATTCATTATTAAACACAGAAAAAGAAATAAAAAACAATTATTATCTCAATCCCATCATCTAGAGAGACTTAGTATAACAATTTGCTGGATAGCTTTATAGTCTTCTTTGTATGCTTGTTGTTGTTGTTATGTGCCGTCAAGTCAGACCTGACTCATAGTGACCCCTCCTTGGGTTTCCGAGGCAGTATCACTACGGAAGTAGATTGCCTCATCTTCCTTCCAAGGAGTGGCTGCACACTACCAGAGCTCCCTCTTTGTATGCTAACATATATAAATACATATCAACTTTGAGGGTGCTCTGCTGGTATAGTGCCTAAGGCATCTGACTGCTAACCAGAAGTCTGGCAGTTAAAACCCACCACCACTCTTAGGAAGGAAGACTGGACAATCTACTTCCATAGAGATAACACCTCAGAAACCCAAGGAGGGGTCACTATGAGTCAGAATTGACTCGATAGCAGTGAGAGCTTTGTGTTTTTTTTGAGTTATCAACTTTTAAACCAAACTATATATCCTGTTTAGTAACTTCTTTTTCAATTATTATATAATGACTATCTTTCCTTTTCAGTAAGTAATAAAGACACCAAAAATATTAATGGCTGCATAATATTCCATTACATGGATAGACCATGGTTTCTAGTTTGTTACTATTGTGACCAGTCTTTTGTTTTTTCTTGCCTTGCAGAAATATTTCATATTTATAAAGTCATATCTATTTATCTTTTCCTCTGTGTTTTTTGCTTTTGATGTGATGCCTGGCAAAAGTCTTCCTCATCCTCAAATTACGTGAATATTTACTTATGCTTCATGGTTTTATTTTTTTAAACATTTAACTCTTTAATCTAGATGAAATTTATTTTGAAGTGGTGTAGGAACTCAACTTTTTCCCTTGTTAGCAATCCCAATCACTAATTTTTTAGAAAAAAAATGCATTTTTCCCTGTTTTGACTTGTCCCCATCTTATATCCAGAATTATTAGACTGATTTTGATTTGTTTATAGATTGTTATTCTCATTCATTTGTGAGTGGCTTCTGATACCAGTATCATACTGTTTTTATTATCATACTTTAGAAATACATTTTAGTATCTGGTAAGGCAAGTACCCCCATTACTCTACTTTCCCACCAGTTTTATGACTATTTTCATTCCTTTATTCCTTCAGATGAACTTTAGAATCGTTTTGGCAAGTTCAAAACAAACAGATAACTTGGAATTTTGATTGGGATTATGCTTAAAATTAGAGATTAATTTGGGGAGAACTGTCATCTTTGCAATTTTGAATCTTCCCATCCAAGAACATGGTATATCTCTCCATTTATTTAAATTTTTTTAAATAGGTTCTTTCAAGTTTGATAATTTTCTTTATGTAGATCCTGAACATTTAGTTTAATCCTAGCTATTTTTCTTTCCTTCAGTAGTTTCAGGTTATAAACTTCTTACATATTTAGGGAAAAATCTATTAAAATAACTTAATCTGGAAAGATGCAAACCAAATTGGTCACATTTTTTTTTTTTTCCTCTGGAAATAGGATTCAGAAGGTCTGGGGAAAGAAGGAGAAAATTTACTTTTTATTTTATGTACTTCTGTAGCGCTTGAATTTGTTAGTACACATGTATTTTTTTTTTTTTAATCAAGATGTATTGAATATCATTTATGCACCTTCATATACTGCTAATTGAATGTAAGTTGCCTTTCTAGAGGGCAGTCTGGCAATAGGTATCAAGAAAGAGCCTTAAATATCTATTTGCTAGTGAAGTGATAAAAAATGTACACAAAGATTTATATTCGAAGATGTTCATCAAGGTAAAATGACATGGAAAATTCAAACATTCTAACCGCAGAGAATGCTTAAATTAGAGAATACTATGTAGCCATTAAAATTGCATTTCCTTTACATGGAAAATACTCTCAAAAGTTTATTGACATAAGTAACTATGTCTGTAGTATGTATAAACTAAACCCAACCAAACTCAGAGTCATTTGAGTTGATTCTGACTCATACCCCCTGTCATCAAGTTGATTCTGACTCAGCAACCCACATTGGGTTTCCAAGGTAGTAAATCTTTATGGAAGTAGACTGCCCTATCTTCCTTTGAACCGCCAACCTTCTGGTTAGCAGTCAAATGCCTTAGGCACTGTGCCAACAGAGCTCCTTGTAGTATGTATATATGTTGATAAATGTTCATAGGAGTTATTCCTATGGTAGGGTGACAAGTGGTGTTTTTACGTTTAAAACATCGTGTGCCCCATTTTTTATAATAAAGCATGCATTTTAAAAGTCATTAATGTATTCTAGAGAAACAGGATGAAGTTGTTTATTATGATGCCTGTGAAAGTCCAGAGGAAATTAAAGTCAGTGAAGTAGTAGTGGGGCTGCCAGATGGTAAGAACCTGGAGGTGAAAGAACTCAGGAGGCAGTCTCAGCAGCTGGAGTCCAAACGAGGCAGGATCTGCGCAAGAAGAGCTTATCTCAGGAACAAAAAGGTGGGTGCACCTAGGCCGGCTTTGTTTTTTAATTCTCCTTCCAGAAATTTCTCTTTTATGAAAGATAAAGAGGTACTGAAAATAAGGCTTTTATCAACATAGAGATTTTTTAATGTGTTTATGTAGCTGTCAGTGGCGGCAGTTAGACTATACTTTAAATATTCTTCTAAAAGAGTCTTTGATTCTCTTGAGGTTTAAGCATTTACCATAATCTCTAGATTTTAATTCAGCCATTCAACAACTACTTCTTGAATGCCTGTTATATACAGACATGTTTAAAATCACAATAAATTCTCAATAACAAAAATAAGTTATTAAAAACTATAAAAATAATTATGAACAAGTTCTATTGGACAGTACTGCTCTGTATCAGGCACTGGTAAATTACAGTCCATTGTCTCTTTTTCTAAATATTTTAAATAAAGTTTTGTTGGAACACACACATACAAAATAAAGTCACAATAAATAAAAGTTTATATCTAATAATCAGCTGTAATAAATTCTAAAATTGTTGATTAGAAAATATCAGTCACGGGAATAATACAGCTCATTTCAGCCTTTGTATTTGGTGAGTTATTTTTTTTCTTAATTTTTAAAAATCTTATAATTACCATGAGAGAATAGAAGGGCTGTGTATGCACAGGGAGACAGCTCAGGGGGGCGGAGTGCATGGGAAGGAAGGGCACAGGGAAGAGGTAACTATCGGGAGGAAGTGGGAGGGAAGCTGTTGCACTGTGGGAAATTGCAGTCAATGTCATGAGAAAAGTGTATGTGAACTGCTGTATGGAAAGTGAATTTGCTCTGTAAACTTTCACCCAAATCCCAATAAAAATAAATAAGTAAATTTTATGATTGCATAAAAAAGTAACATATGAAGAAATTTCCATTTTTTCTATAGAAAAGAAAGTGCCTGTTTAATTTTTATACAGAATTACATATACATCTGTATATTCATATTTTTTATACTTTTCTTATTGGAATTGGGGGGGGATTGTAGCTTACAAAATTGTACATTACTTTTCTATGTACCACACAAATATAAATACTTAAAAAAAACACGTTGAAAGAATATATTCTTTGTAGGTCTGTGTTTAAGAATTTTGACTTTGGAATTTAGGAGCTGTTCTTCAGATTATTTAAAGAAATACAAGCATTTGCCCTTTGCTCCCCATTTCAGAATACCCAAGAGTATTGGGAGAAGTCTCCTTTCCATGGTAAAGTTGAGCTGTAGGGAGGTGGAGGTGCCTCCATTTCCTTCGTGGTACAGCTGTGAAGAAGTGCCTTCTCTTGTACAGACTTGAGTGTTAACTTTTATCCTCCAAATGGAATCCCTTCAAGGGATGAAACTCCTTTAAGTGAGTTCCTGTCACTGAGTTCTAGACATGTTGGAACTTGGAAGGCATGGGTTAATAGCATGTGGTCATTGAGGACAGGCTCCAGAGTCTAACTTGGCTTCAAATCACCGCCTGGCCACTTGGTAGCTGTTTTGACTTTTGGCAAATTACTTAAATCTCTTTGATCTAGTTAAAAGAGGATGATAATAGAAGGAATACCAATCTCATGGTTATTATTATTATTATTATTATTTTTTAACTTTATTTTGATTTGGGTGAAGATTTACAGAGTAAATTCACTTTTCATACAGCAGTTCACATATACTTTGT